CCAAACCCCAAATCCTAAGCCCTAGAGCACACACACATTATCTGAGCCCAGGTCCGCACCTGTGGTGCGCCATGAAATTGTCAATACCTTCCTGCACAGACTCTGAGGGTTTAGGATTTGGGGTTTAGGATTGAAGGGTTTAGGGTTTAGGATTTAAGGGTTTAGGGTTTAGGATTTAAGGGTTTAGGGTCTACGCGGAGGTTTTGGGTTGAAAGTTTTAGGCTTTCTGGGCTTAAAGGCTTGTATGTTTTACAGTTTTTGGAATAAGGGTGCGGGATTTTAGGGTTTGGGGTTAAAAGGATTCCCTAAACCCTAAACCCCATACCCAGGGCGTTCAGAGCTTCAGGGCTCCTTTCTGCGGCTAGGGTCCCCACACCCTAAACTGTCCCAATCCTGGGGTTTAGGATTTAGGGTACTCCAACCCAAATGAGCCATTGTCTAAACTCCGAGTATCCCCCTTAATAACCATTATAGTAATACCCTATATAATCCCCTATATAACCCCCTTTAAGGAGTTTAGACTATAGCTTAAATACCGCAAGCACACCACGAAAATCATTCCGTGGCCTAACCCAGCGCACGGCTTAGGGCTTAGGATACTCCTACCTGGACCCCAAAAGTATGTAAAATAATGGCCTTTGTGGTTGGTATTATGGGTTTAGGGCTATTATTTTACATACTTTTGGGGTTTAGGTAAACCCTGAACCCTACTTAAAACCCCAGGTGTTTGGGATCTAGGTCTGACCTCACACCCTGAAGCAGACGCAGTTTGACAGTCCTGGACCCCTAGGATGCTACAAAGACGTCCACACTAGAAGGGCTTCTTGAAGCTAAGGAGGCCACCGGATGAGAAATTCGCCATTTAGGCTTTAGGCTTAAGGGTTTAGGGGTTATAGGGTTTATGGGTTTAGGGTTTTAGGGTTTTAGGGGTTTAGGGTTTAGGGGTTATAGGGGCTTAAGGGTTTAAGGATTTAGGGGTTATAGCGTTTAAGAGTTTAGGGTTTTGGTGTTTTTGGGGTTTAGAGTTTAGGGGTTTAGGGTTTTAGGGTTTAGGGTTTAGGGTTTGGGAGGTTTAGGGGTTTAGGGTTCAGGGGTTTAGGTGTCTAGGGTTTTGGGTTTTTAGGGTTTGGGGGTTTAGGTGTCTAGAGTTTAGGTGTTTAGGGTTTAGGGGTTAGGAGTTGAGGAGTTTAGGGTTTGGGGGTTTTAGGGTTCATGGGTTTAGGGTTTAGGAATTTATCGGTTTAGGGTTTAGGGGTTCAGAGGTTTAGGGTTTGGGGGGTTGTAGGGTTTAGGGCTTTAGGGGGTTGGGATTTAGGGTTTAGGGTTTTATTGTTT